AGTGGTTTGCCATTTCCTTTTCTGGCTCATTTTACAGAAAAGGAGCTGAGGCAAACAGCGTTAAGTGACTTGACCAGGGTCACAAAGCTGGAAAGTGTATGAGGCCAGATAGCCACTCAGGGAGATGAGTTTTTCTGACTCCAGGCCTGACACTCTTATCCACTGCGCCATCTAGCTGTTGGTCTGACACATAGTAGGAACTTAAATGTTTATTGATTGAAACATCATGCCATTTTATCTTCACAACTCTGGGGAGGTAGGTGCTATTATTATCCCCCTTTTACACATGAGGAAACTGAGGTAGACAGAGGTTAAGTGACTTGTCCAGGTTCATACAGCCAGGAGGTGTCTGAGGCTGGATTTGAACTCTGGTCTTCCTTGAATCCAGGTATAGCGCCATCTCCTGAACGACCCCAGCTGCCTCTGGCTAAGATAAAGAACACACATAATTATCATGGGGGGGGGAGTGATCAGTGCCTCAACAGCATGCTTCACTTGCGCTTGCTCCATACATGCAGTTGATGATGTGAAATGCTCAAAACCCCAATCAAAAGTTAATGTAAATAACACACAAGGAGAATGGTGATGATGATAACAAACAACATTGTGGCCCCAGGCAGCGTTTGTGAGACCAGAACTTGAAATTGTGGCTCTGTCATCGAATTTCTTTGGAGAAATGTGTGTGTTTTATTTCCATTTGGAATTGTGGTCTGTGCCACGCGTGCGTTAACCTGACAAAAGACATTTATACTCAACATCCCACCACCACCCCTCTCCCCCCCCCACTTCCACCCCTGGTATTTAAAAACAAACACACAACAAAAAAACAACTGGTTTTGGGCGAAGAAAACACCAGGGTGAAGTAGTTCATATAGGTTGTACTTCAATGAAAGGAAAGATTTCCATGGAAAATAATATTGAATTTCATATATGCTAAAATAATTTGACTTTCCAGAGCAGATCTTTCATCCACAGGTTTCCAGGTCCCACACAAATGCAGAGCCTCATCCCCATTTTACATGTGGGGATACTGAGGTACACATGGGCTAAGTGATCCAAAGGAAGCACCTCTCACTTTGGAGACAGCCTTTCCTGTGCCAAGGACGAACACTTCATTTTCGCTTCTGTATGATTTTCTATCATAACAGATGAAAATGAAGCCCCGTACCTAGCCTGAGTAATGCACACATCAACAGCATTCTTTTCTTCTTTTTATTGCCCTAGAGACATATGCTGACTTAGTCAAGATCCCTCCAGTAAGCTGTGACAGATGATGTATGAAATGAAAAATCCTTGTCCAGCACTTGGAGAACAGCAAGAGGGCTGTGAAGGCTCTCTGCTTTGTGGGGGACTGAGGAGACATAGCCTAACAGTACCTTACATCACAATCTGTCTTTCATCCAGGAGAACCTAACTCCCAGGTGCAGAGTAGACTAATATGCATATCAGATTGCACCCCTCTGGGATGAAGCACAGGGTGCTTTCACCATCCCAGTTCCATAAGTAGCCACCAAGAGAGAAAGCTTGAGGGGAAACTGGATAGGCCCCAGGAAAGTGACTGGGGTTGCTGCTTGGAATGGGGGTTGGTGGAACTGTGGAGTACAGAGGAAAGACTGAAATGGACTCTGTGAAAATGTTCCCCAGCCTCATACCCTGAAGATTTTTTATTTCTTTTCACGAAAAAGGCAGTAAGTTTCATGTAGTGAAAAGAGCCCTGGTTTGGGAGTCAGAAGACCTGAGTTTGAGTCTGGTTCTAACACTTAACCTCTGTGACCTTGGGCCAGTCAATTAACCTCTATGTGCCTCAAATTTTCCCCCTCTCAGAATCCTTGCATTCCAAGGTTTGTTTGTTTTTTTAATTTTTGTAAGGAAAGTGTTTTAAGGGAACCCTAAAGCTCTCTAGAAATGTGTTATAGTTTACTGCAGTCAGTTATTAATAAATTATTCTTTGGCATGGCATAAAAAGAAGTAGTTAGAGAAATCAATGATTCTTTTTATTTAAAGGGGTTTGCCAAACTCCATGGACAATAATTTAAGAATACTCTGAAGGACCAGGCAATTTCTTTCTTTTTGCATCTGTTGACACGCCTGATCCTTCTAGTGTTGAAGGTCTGCCTCTTCCCTGCATAGAGGTGACTTTCAGCTCGGTTGTTGGTCCCCTTTTTCAAGGCCCAACTCAGATGTTACCTCCTCTGTGCAGCCTTCTTTTACTACTCCTTTCCCCAAGTGAAGTGACCTCTCCTTCCTCAAGTGTCTCATATAACTTTGCTCGGTTCTCTGCTTTATACTCACCTCATTTTCTCCTGTTATCCTTATTTGCATACTTGTCTCCTTCCCCCTCCCTACCCAATTAGATTGGAAGCTCCTTGAAAACAAGGTCTGTGGCACATGTATATATTAACACTGTACACATTTAAGTACATAATCAATTCATGTTTGTTGAATTGATACTCAATTCACTTTTTAGTACTTCAGTTTCCTTATCTGTAAAGTAAGGAAGCTAGATTATATGAAGCCCCCTTCCAGTTCTAATTTCTATAACTCTATGATCCTTCCAAGTTGTAAAGGCTTCTGGTAACAGACCATGTTTGAAGGATCAAAGTACAGAGAAGCTCATTACCAGAAATTTGGTCATTAGATGATGATTTTCTCCCCTCCACCCTCACCATGGTAATTTAATCTGCATTGAGGTCCCTATTAGTGTAAATAATGAATCTAGGGAAGTGGTCTCATTATTTGAATTCACATTGCGTGTTTCCATTGGGCTGGAATCCGTTACCATATCTTACTTAATTATTAACTCTGAATTCAAATTCAAATACATAGGACCATTTATTTCATAGGATTCATTCATTATTCACACTGATTAGGGCCTAGCTTTATTTTAAGTATGGAGAGTTTGTGCCCTGTATCAGAGGAGGGATTACCCACACAGATGAAATCACAGATCTTTTGAAGTACATTTTAGCACATGTTTGTTTTCTTTTTACCCACATGCTCTGCACTTGTAGGAACTCCTGGGACTCTTTTAAGGTCTCTTCAAATGCTGACATTCTATGATTCACTGCACTCAGCTCAGTCTTATCATCCTGTTCCTTTCTATTGAATTGAGAGTCAAGGGACCTGGATTCCAGTCCATCTCTGACAGTCACTGGTTTTGTGACCTTGGGCAAGTCACTTAACTTCTCTGAGCCTCAGTTTCCTCATTTGTAAACTGAGGACAATAGTACCCATAATGCCTTACTTAGAGTTACTGTGAGGAAAACTCGAGTGCTCACATAAATGTGAGCTATTATTAGATTTGCTACCTTAAGCAATGCAACCATAATCATTCATCCAAAAAGCATTTATTGAGGGCCTACTGTATGAAATGTTTGGAGAATGATGCACAGAAGACAACTACCACCTGAGTCCCGATGGACCTGAGAGATAAGTCAAATTGAGGGTTGTGGTGTTTAGGAAGGGGATCTTATCTATATAAAGGTCTCAGATAATAACCATGAGTTCATTGACTCTGAAGCTTGCATTAAAAAGGATGGCATGCCTAAGAAAAGAGCTAGTTGACCAGCTGCTTTCCTGGGAAACAGTTGGGAGAGACAAAGTGTATTGGTCACAAATACATTAGAACAAGTTTGCTTATAGTGGAAGGCTTTTGGAGGCTGAGGTTTTATTCCTCGTTCTGCCACTCTGAGCAAGTTACTTAACCTCTCAGTTTTCCTTCTATTAGATGGGACCCTTCCTACCTCACTGGATTGGTGTGAGAGTCATGTGACACAATTAATGAATGTGAAAGTACTTTGAAAAGCACCAAGGTCTGTACAAGGGTGGGGGTCCTATTGCTTCGGGGATCTTTTCCTCTGTGTTTAGCATTTTAGGCCACTCAGAAGAAGTACTATGTGAATACATAAAAGGCAGTAGAGTTTAAAATTATGCCATAGGTGCCTCCTTACCTTACCTTTAAAACCTTGTTTAAATGCCAATTAATTGCCCCCAATTGGTAATGACCTTCCTTCCCTTATACTTTACATAGCTTTTTGTTCTGTATCTCTCTAATGTACTTAAGCAATATTGCATATTTAGCTATCTGTATTGGTGCTCTATTCTCCCCAACTAGATTCCTTTTGCAGGGACCTTATATTCTCTCAATTCCATATGGCTACCAATGGCCTGTGTATAGCAAAAACACTGTAGGTGTTCAGCAAATCTTGTATTGTATTGTTCCTATTGTCCAGGCCCCTGCTTCAGCTGGAGGTCAGTCATAGTAATCATATTTGGCCTCCCCAAAGAGAGGCCTACAGGGTGGAGCTACCTCCCCAGGAAAGGAAAGCCCAGAGGAATCTCAACTTCAACCTGCTCTTCCCCCTCTTCTGCTTTCCACATGTGCATCTACCCATTTGGGATAACAACCCATGGCTAGAGTACTAACTAGAAAGGTCTCATCTGGGTTCTCCCTGCCCCTGAAGTGGGGGGCAGGGAACCACAAAGGGAAATCACCTCGACTCCCAGACCACCTGTTGAACCTTTGAAGCTCCCATGCCCTTGCAGGAAGGAGAAGTGGTAATTAATTTGCTTTGTTAGGTCCTTTATCCTCTGACTTTCCTGACCTTGGGCTATCTATGTAGGTCAGGGCAGACTGTAAGCAAAAAAACAAAAAACAAAAAACAAAAAAACAAAAACAAAAAACAAAAGGCAGCTACTCTTCTTGAAGTGCTTCCCTGGGATCCTCCCCTGGCACTAATGGCAGCAGCTGGTGGGTGGGTGGGGCAGAAGGGTGTCGTTGCTGGCAGCTTTCCTGCCCAGAATGTTTCTTCCCTTGGGCGGGAGTGGAAAGTGTGTGTGGTGGTGGTGGTGGTAGTAGTGGTGCTAGTGGTGGTGGGAGGCGAATGGGAGCTTCTGTGGACAGCAGTTTGAGGGGGGAGGGTGGTAAGAGGAAGATAGTAGGCTCAGGTGGGAGGGTGGTGGGGGCACAGTCATATTTCTGCCCCTTTTCCTTTCTTTACAACTATTGTTACTGAGTTCTGAAAGGCTCCAGGCACAGTTTGAAACCAGCTTCTAAACCACTTAGGTTAATTTAACTGCTTGTGAAGAGCCCACCCTGCTTAGAGCCCGAAGCCTCCAAAACATCTTGAAAAGAAACCCGGTGAGCTCTGGGTCATAACATGGTTTTCTTCTCTAAGCACTTTAGAGTCTGTCTCTCTGTGCGAGTGAGCGTGTGTATGTGTCTGTGTGTGTGTGTGTGTGTGTGTGTGTGTGTGTGTGAAAGAGAGAGAGAGGGAGAGAGAGAGAGAGAAAGAGAGAGAGAGAGAGAGCTCTGAGTTTTACTGGCTGCTCCTCCCACTAGATACAACCTCCCGCTGCCTCTGTCTGCAAAGCAACATTCAAACACCACTTTGAGACTTGGTGTGTGTGAGAAGTGAAGAGAGGAGAGCAGAGCTGAGGACACCCCCCCCCCCAAGAGTTGAGAGTAAAAAACAGTCCGCTGGGGAGATTCATGTTTGTCGTCTGTCTTCTTTATGTGGATTTTACAATCTGAGGGGGAACAAAAGCAATATTGAAAAAGTTAGCCATGAGAAATGCTTTGCAGTGGCTATCTGGGGAAGTTGTATAACAAGTGACCAGGGCTCTAAGGCAGCCTCTCTTTCCCTCTTCCCTCCAAACTTTAGCTGTATTTAATGGTCAAGTATTTATTTGGATCCCCAGGCTAGCTCAGTTGCTCTTTTTCTCCCCTGCCTGGAGAGTCCTGTGAAGCAGGAGAGATGCATGTGGTGTGGCTCAAGCCGGGACCCCCCAGCTTCCTGGTCCTCTGGACTCGACTCTTCCTACTGCTGCACTCCATCCTGGCCGACTTCACCCTGGATAATGAAGTGCACTCCAGCTTCATCCACAGGAGGCTCCGCAGCCAAGAGCGCCGGGAGATGCAACGAGAAATCCTCTCCATCCTGGGTTTGCCCCACCGGCCCAGGCCCCACCTCCATGGCAAACAGAACTCAGCCCCCATGTTCATGCTGGATCTCTACAATGCCATGTCAGTGGAAGAGGAGGTCGGCGGAGAGGAGGGCCAGGGTTTCTCTTACCCTTACAAGCCCATCTTCAGCACCCAGGGTCCTCCGCTTGCCAGTTTGCAGGACAGTAACTTTCTAACTGATGCGGATATGGTCATGAGCTTCGTCAATCTGGGTGAGTGGGGTCAATGGAGTTTGCTTTTTCCCACAAGGTGGGACAGAGGGTATGGGTATTCGTTTCAAAGGTGCCCCATGGGAAGATGATGGGGAGGCTGTTTAATGGGCAAAGGAGATCCCCAGTCTTCTTTGTGGACTCAAGAGGGTGAACTGAAAAGGGGATTTGGGTTTTTGATGGAAATAGCAAGGATTGGCAATAGGGCTCATAATTTTATTTTATCAGATCGGAGGAAAGCAGACTTTTTTCCTCGGACCGCTTCGAAATGGCTCAATTTCTCTTTGCTATAAGGAGGACTCATACCCCTTTAACTGTCTTGAGTTCCCCCTCTTCCTCACACCCTCTTACCAGACACCTTTCTTCCCACCTGAATTCCTCCTTCCCAAAACAGAAAGCGGATGTTTTTCTTTGCCGGGTCTAAGGCGAATGTGGACTGGGAACGTTCCCAGGTAGGGAAACCCAGCGTGTGTGTGTGTGTGTGTGTACACACGTACAGGGAAAGTCTCTTCTTAAGTCTTTCTCTCTTTTCTGGCTGCTGCTCCTCTTGGGGAAGATGTAAAACCGGGAGAGGCAAAGAGCAAGTGAGATTCGGCACAGTTCAAAGCATCAGGCTTTGAGTCATGTGAATGCTCCCAGCTAAGGCAACTGCAAATGGACAGATCCCAGTGGATTGGGGGAAGCCGCCTTAGCCAGATTTAAAGGGCCAAGCTTCTGTTAACCTGCTTTCCTAATGGCGCTCTCTCTCTCTCTCTCTCTCTCTCTCTCTCTCTCTCTCTCTCTCTCTGTCTCTCTCTGTCTCTCTCTCTCTCTCTCTCTCTCTCTCTCTCTCTCCCCCTCTCCCTCCTCTCTCTCTCTCTCTCCCTCCTCTTCTCTCTCCCCCTCCTCTCCCCCTCCCCATCTCCTCCGTGATCGAATTGTGGCCATTTCACCTTCCTGGCCAGGCTTCTATCGGGGAAGTTCTCTCTACCACTTTATAGTTATACCTGCCCTTTCGTTTGGCTTCCTTGCACCCCTTTAACTGGGCTCTCTACAACAGATGGATTTTGTTTGCTTTCTGACAGCAATGCCCCTTCTTGAGTCAGCCAAGTTTGAGTGAAAACATTGCCATTGCAAGCATTCTATTTAAAATATATAATGATAGGTCCCTGGCTAACTGAATCCATTTTAAGCATTTATCACATGTGGCTCACAAACCACCAAACATAGAGATTGGGTGTCTCCAAATCTCGGAACTGAATCTGGAGGGTAGTTTAGGGAATGGGCCCCACGCTCAGACTCCACCAGGCATCCACAATGGCAGGAAGGTTTGGGGGCTTGGAGAGATGCCATGGTGTGTGTGTGTGTGTGTGTGTGTGTGTGTGAGAGAGAGAGAGAGAGAGAGAGAGAGAGAGAGAGAGAGAGAGAGAG